TCCTTTTCATTTTTATGTATTACTGAAACATGGCTAGGATCTTGTGATTGCAATCTGTACGGATTTCGATCGTTTAACTCTGAATATGATCACCGCGATTCGGGTCGCTATGGCGGCTCGGCCATATTTATATCGCCTGAGATAAAGTACAAGCGCAGGACAGACCTGTCTTTGAATATTCCGAACTGTGAATCTGTATGGATCGAGGCTGCCTTCCCCTCCTCTGTTAATCTAAATAAAGTGATCATTGCATGCATTTACCGTTCTCCATCTTCATCTATGCCGCATTTTCTACATAATTTAGCTGCTGTACTCGACATTATCACCGCAGAAAATAAGCAAGTTGTTTTGGTTGGTGATATCAACATTAACCTAATGGATACAGATAACAGCACCACCATAGCATATAGCGATTGTTTTCTTGGCTTCGGGCTTGAATCCTTAATTTCATCCCCTACTCGATTTTCACCCACTGGAACAAGCACGCTCATTGACCACGTATTATGCAATTTTTCGCCAACCCCTAGCGCAGGAGTCATTGATGTGTGCATCACTGATCATCATCCTGTCTTTGTAACTTTCGCCGTAAATCTACCTCGCCTTAACACGTGCCATTTCACGTCAACCTTCGATCAGGAAAACTTTATCAAGGCAATTAAAGGCTCTGAGTGGTCTTCCATTAGCACCTTAGAAAATCCTGAAGAAGCACTAGGCAACTTCTGTTCCCTATTTCTTAAAGCTGTGCATGCAAACACTAAAACTGTTAAATGCAAGAAAATATATAGGTTTCAACATAATCCCTGGTTAACTCAAGGCTTGTTAACTAGTATGCGGAAAAAAGATAATCTCTACAGGAAAACAAAAAAACAGCCATTTAATGTGAATTTGAGACTTAGGTATAAAAATTATAGTAAGATGTTGAATAAACTGCTGAAAAAATCAAAACGACTTTATTACGATAAAGAATTCTGTAAAGCAAGAAATCACCCAAAGAAAAAATGGAAACTTTTCAATGACTTCTTAAACAGACCTCAGGTTAGTAATGTCATTGATAAAATTAGGTATAAACAGCAAATCTGTACTGAGTCCTCTGACATAGCCGAGTCTTTTAGTGATTACTTTTGTGAAGTATACAATGATAGGCCCAAAGTATCCTCGTACACCCTTACCCGCTGTATCCATTCATTCTTTCTATTTCCTGTTACCATTGACGAAGTCTATTCTACAATCCTGAGTTTAAAAAACTGTAGCGCTGGACTAGACAATGTATCGGCGTTTCATTTAAAACTTGCTGCTCCAGACATCTCAGACGTCTTAAGCAATATAATTAATGTCATTTTTAAACAAGGTATGTTTCCGAGCTCACTGAAAAAAGGCAAGTTAATCCCAGTATACAAAAAAGGTGATACGACAGATGTCCGTAACTACCGCCCTATTTTTATTTTGTCTTCCATCAGCAAACTTATTGAAAAATTATTTGTGAAACGTATTAATAAGTACCTCAATAAATTTAGTCTGCTAAAGCCTTGTCAATTTGGTTTCCGGGCTGGTAGTTCTACGAATTTAGCATTGCTATCATTAACCGATTTCTTGAAAACGTCCATCAACAACGGTAATTTCACAGGGTCTGTATTTCTTGATTTCACGAAAGCCTTTGATACCATTAGTCATAATATTTTATTTAGCAAATTAGAGTCTTTGGGTATCACTGGCCCATCCTTGACCTTTATAAAAAACTACCTTCTTGATCGTGAACAATCAGTCTGCATTGGGGGCGTTAATTCTAATGTTAAAATAATTAATCAAGGGGTCCCACAGGGTTCTATTCTTGGACCCTTACTGTTTTGTATCTATATTAATGATTTGCCCGACTGCCTTGGAAATTCTAAAGTTATTCTTTACGCTGATGATACGACCATTTCCATCTCGCATCAATCATTACCTACTCTGATCAATATGTTGAACAAAGAACTGACTAATGCCGTTGAATGGTGTCGCTTAAACAACTTAATTTTAAACCCGCTCAAAACTCAATTCATGGTTTTTAAAACATCACAAAAAATGCTACCTTTCATTCCACAAGTGTTCATTGACAATCATTTCATTCCTGCGTCAAACTGTGTGTGTTTTCTGGGCATAAAATTGGACCCTCATTTAAACTTCACCAATCATATTCTTTACGTTAAACAAAAAACAGCATTTGGTATAAGATCACTCATCAAATCTCGTCCTTTTTTTTCACTTGAAGCCTTATTGTCTTTATACTTTGCCTTCATACATAGTCACATCACCTATGGCATTACATCATGGGGAAATACATATAACATTCATATTTCGTCTGTACAGCACATTCAGAATCAGGCCATTCGCATTATTACCAACAGTTCATCTTATTCTAATGCTACCCCACTCCTTCAGGCTAACTGTATTCTTACTGTGTCTGGCTTATTTAAATTTCACTTAATCACATTGTTATATAAACAACTTAACAAACAGCTTGTGTTTGATTTAATCGATGCTAGTTTACTCACTAACACCAATAGCACTAGATTCGCCCACAGTCACAACTTCCTTTTACCTAAATGTAACACCAATTATGGCAAAATGACGTCCGCCTTCGCGGTCATTAAATTGTGGAATAACCTGCCCTATACACTAAAATCATCATCATCTTTTTATGCATTCAAACGTGATCTTAAAACTTCATCTTGCATAACTAGGTTGACAACGATGATTACTTAACGATTCTTGGTATCCGGGCATGAAATGGGAAAGTCTTTGCAAATTTACGTTATTGCTTTATGGCGTGATTATGTTTTACTTGTATAACTTATTACTATTGTTCTTGTGTCACATTCTGACTGCCTGTTTTGTTTACTTGATGTTATTTTATGTAAGTTCACTGTTTACTTTTCTTTGTGTTGCGTATTTTACGTGCTGTCATAATTAATAATTTTATTGTTATATTTAACTGAGGGTCCCCCTGCAGTCGCTTGACTTTGGGAGGGACCCTCGTCTGCATACTACATTCTACGAATTTTGTATTTTGAATGAATGAATAAACTGAACTGAACTGAACTGAAATTAAATGGAACCCACGTTAGACTTCCTTTGTTCAGTTTGCCAATGCTTAAATAATTTCTGATATCACTCATGATTATTAGAGCTTCAGTGATGCCCCGTTACACAGCAGAAGTGTACTCAACATTACGGTAATTTTTTTTCATAAAGCCAACATTGATGCATACCAGTGGTTTATCATTGTTGTATGTTTGCGCATAGTGAGCTGTGGCAAGAGGCTTATGAAGCGAACTAACTTTCAAAGTTTCGTTGTACCCACTGTGCACTGCAGAGCTCGTGCACAAGTGTTGTTCTGTGGTGTTGTTTTAGTATAAGAATTCATTTCTGTCTCGTTTGTTTGAATAAATGTTTTCTGCTTTCTGCTTTCTGCCTTATTAGGAATTACCCGAAAAGACAAATGTGAACCTTACAATGGACATTAAAGGTGTACCGCAATGCTCCAAAATTACGCCCGTTTTTAGACGTTGTTTATATAACTGACACGTTTGCAACCGCAACATCACCAGATCTAATTACTACACAAATGATATCAATGCATTTTTGGTCAATCACACTCCCACTTCTTGGTGGAATGTGGGCAATAATCTCCCAACTGGTATTGAATATACTCCCCATTGTGAGTTTGCAATTGCAGGAAGACGACCTCTATGACATCCAAGAGCAAAGTGCACTGTGATGGAAATATCTCCGCGGCTGTTACCGGTACAGTGGTGGCACTGCGTGGAGCCATATTAGGCAGGCAGGTCGTGGAAGCACCTGCTAAATGTGGAATTCCTGCTATTATAGCGCTAACAGAATAAACAGATGCAAATACCCACCACCACGCAACAAATTGAAAAAAAGGACAGACCATAACTCTGAGGTTACTGCAGCCAAATATGTACCCTAGTCCGGCAATCTGTGCTACGCCTGTGTTATCCTCACCTATACCCAACAAACGCATGTAAAACGTGCGGGGAAAGGGCCACACTGAGGCACATGCTTTGGGAGTGTGCTGGAAAAGTTGACGTCACTGCCGCCGCTTCTCCGCGACCCATGTTAGGCACGGACGAACTCCGAGGCCAATTACTGCTGCTACCACCACGTGGCGGCAGGGGCCGGCTTCCGCCGTGGCTGCAGTCACTGTTGCCGATCAGCGACATCAGCTGTGCTGCTGCTGGGAGGCGGCACTTACCAGCGACGAGCTGGCTGACCAGCTTTGGGCTGTCCGACAAGCTGAAGATGCCGCCCCTATCCAAGGACTTTGAGCGGTCCGCTGAGGCGCCGCCATCTTAATCGACGGAAAGTGGGAAGGGACAGGAGTTAATCCCCTCTTCCCCCACTTTGCCCGGTGAAAACTGCGGGACTTCAAATAAAGTTTATTCATTCATTCATTCATATTCAAGTAGTGATAACAATATGTACAAGTGATTATTACTTTTGGCATTAGTTCGTGATATCATTATGTAAGGAGAAGACATTAAAAACCGTAGTTGTGACATTGTTCAGCGACAAATAAATCCTGTAACATTGCAAAGCTTAATGTACACAAAAATCAATGTACAAGTGAGCCAGGGAGGTGGGAGAGAGATGAGGTGAGCACATTGCTTAAAGCAGACTGCAGGTAGTATGTGCACATTGTTTATGCCTTTGCAGGAGGACGGGAGGAGGACAGATGGGAAGAGTGGAGGGCCATGTGTTGGCTGTCCTTCACGTGACGGCGCCGGACTCCCAACCAGTACGCCTCTTCACAGGTGATGATGAGGTGCGGTATATTATAGATTTCCAGTGTCTCGTTGGAAGCGCAATGTAACAGTGAGGTGTTTTATGGTGCCCCTTTGTTGATGAGGTGATGCAAACACCAAAGCATGTAATATTTGTGCCGTGTATTGTCAAAAATCTCACTAGAACAAATGATATTTCTCTTCAGACCAGTGTCAATAGTTGGACGTCACAACTTCTTCCATGAAACAAACAGTTACAAAGAAGTCACATTCTAGAAGGTAATATGTAAAGGTCAAATTCTTGAAAGTCAAATTATTGTGCATAAACACAAACATTTATTAGCTTGCATATTAGGCTCGTGATAGCTGCATGTGTTTTTTTTCTCATGACGTCCTATTTAGTTCCGTTGCTCTTCATTGCCTACACACGTCACCTTGCAGCTATGATAATGACCAGATAAAGCATATGTGTTTCTACAAAATACTCCCCATTCATTTCTTAAGTTTGACCAAGGCAGCGGCACTACAGTTCACTTTCCTCTAAGGCTGTGGCCTGAATGATTGAAGTGTGGTCGAGGCCGCTGCGTATGCTGCAGGAGACGAAGGCATAGGCCCAGCAAGTAGGTGCTAGAGAACAATTTGTGATATAAGACAGCAATGTGTCTTTGTTTTTGTCACTGAAAACTGTCATTGTTGGAAAAAAGCATGCTAACATTACCTGACATACATTAGGCGTCACAGGATCATTCGTTTGGCACGCTATCTGTCGTGAAGAGGGTATGTTGACCCAATAAGCAAGCACCAACATATCAGTCATACACAACGCTGACACTAGACAAACATTCATTGTAGTGACAGAGAAATTTTTTGTCCTCAGCTTCTTATGTATAGCTTTAAGGTACAATGATGCATTTTGTGCAGCTAAGATGACTACACTCTAAAAAAAGAGCGAGTAAAAAGGGTGTCTTTTTGTCCCACAACAATAATCGTCATCTATATTGCGTTCCATTCTTGCACTATCGCCCTGCGCCCGCTACATTCCGGTCACGATCGACATGCCCATTATCAGGGTTACATTGCATTCTCGATAGAAAAGTGGCCAGCGCCGAGTTTTCAAGAAAGGAAGTGCACGCGGGCCTGATGACGATTATTGTTGTGGGACAAAAAGACACCCTTTTTACTCGATATTTCTTTAGAGTGTATCATAACACTTGTGTGCAGAGTGGATTATTCGTGGTAAAACAACACCCCTTTCTGCTTGGCTCAAACGCCGATCCTAACAGCACCAAGAAAGAAGAAGTTCAGGCAGCTTCCCATTCGTGGTGCTAAATGCACCGGCTCTTCTTATTTCACCATTTCTCACTTTCTTCTGTATCTTCCTATTTCCTTATTTCTCACCCTCTTTTCTACTGTTTCCCACTTTTATCTCTCTCTTTGCAGTTTTTTTTTCTCTCGTTCTCTCTCTTTTTCTTATTGCCTCTTTCTGTGTATGTCTACTTTTTGTGTCTTTTTTCTGCTTTCTCCTCTATTTTATGATTTTCCTTTATCTCTTTTTTTATTTCTCCATACTCGTCCATCCAGATCATTTCTCTTTTTTATTTCTCCATACTCATCCATCCAGATCATTGCACCCCACGTCGATTGAATCAGTGCAGGGGGAGAGAAGCAGGAGATGAAAAGGACAAAAAGGGCCCACACCGGGTGAGTTATTGCGTTTCACGCCAAGGCGTTTGTGACGATAGCTTGAGCTAATTTTTCGTAAGAGACCTCGAGCTTAGGCATCTCCAGTGTGCAAACAGAATCAAAGAATTGAACCAAATGATGTATGTTGCAACGGTTATTCACCGAAAATGGCAAGCTCTTTAAGGGATGGCCAAAACAAGAGCTTGCTTATCTCCATTATGCCTTAGTCGAAGTGAATGTGACGGATCAAATAAATCAATCCCTACTGTCAAACGCTACATGTATTCACAAAGTCCCTAGCAAGTGAGTGAAAAGACATGGCTGCAAGCATGAAGAAGGCACACTGCTATGTCTTGACAACAGACGCAGAGCGCCGCATTGCTTGGCAATGCAGCTTTATCGGATTTCAGCCATCAGTCGAGTATTCTCACATTTCTGCCCTGTGTACAGCTGACATTGCAGAGTTTGCTTCACCACAACTAATACAACTTCCTCATTTGAACACCGTGGTGACTGCCACTGTTAGTTCTTAAACAAGTTATACTCTTCTGCTACTAATCGCTCGCCAAATAGGTGGCACACCAATCTAAGATTGGTTTTATTTATATGTCATATTTATATTTTGCGATTCATGATGAAAACACTGATAAAGGAGCGGAAAAGGGTTTATGATGTATATATACATCAAAATAATTTGCAGACACTAGATGCAACTATGAGTCATGCAACCTGATTATCAAAGTAAGCTACAAGACCAAGTATGAAAGAGAAACTAACATACCTTGTGACATCCATGGATCAGTTCACCTACCTGCACAGGCTCATTGTTCAATGAACATGGTCAAAGATGTGATTGAAATTAGCATTGCACAGATCTGGCCGACGAAGAATTCTTCGAAGGCTGGAAGGGGGAAAAGATCACACATATTATGTGTCAAAATTCAGCAGCAGAACAAGAAAGATTTATCGGCGTCGAATGAAACGCGAATAGCAGAGCAGGTGGCCCGAGCCACTGCTTAAACTCGAAGCCACTAAAACAGTGACCAAAAATGTGGCTAATCTCTCTTTCTGGGAATTGGTAAAACATGAAAGTGAGACCTGTCTTCACAGAGGTAGGTGAGAGTTTACTGTACATTGTTTCACCACAAAGACGAATAAATGAATGCTACAGCAACAAATTACAAAGTACACTAAGAATGGCAAACAGCAACAGCTGGAAAACTTGCATTTCGCATTTCAAGCAATAAGCATGCACGAAATGAGCATATACAGGAGGAGCACATACTAACAAATGTCACAGCTCAACACTTAAAGTGCCCTATAAACAGCAAGAACAACGCACGAAACGAACGGACAAGTATTCACAGGACAAGCACGAACTGTCACAATTCTTACTTCGTGTGTGAGTAGCATGCTTCTTTCGTAAATACGGCCGTAGCAGCGAGTGCAGTGACTTTCGTGCTCTCTGGACACACGAGTCCGATAAGCGTGCACGCAGGAAAGACCACGTTCTGTGTAGGTGACGAAACGAGAGGCCCAACCTTTAGAGTGGCCCAACATGCACTCATTATAAAGTATATTTCGTTCTTATAATGGTGAAAATAAGAACGAAATAGACTTTATATTGAGTGCACACCCACGCATTGTGCAGGATGTGGAAGTGCTTGGCAAGGTGCGATGCAGTGACCATAGACTGGTATGGTCTGGAATTCGCCTATACTTGAAGAAGCAACGACAGAAATTGATACGCAAGAAGCCAATCAATGAGCTAGCACTGACAGGGAAAGTAGAGGAATTCAGAGTTTCACTTCAGAACAGGTACTCGGCTCTTATCGAGGGAACCAGCCTTAGCGTTGACGCAATGAATGATAATCTGACGAGTACCATTATGGAGTGTGCAGTGGAAGTTGGAGGTACCGTACTTAGACAGGACACTGGCAAGCTGTCCCAGGAGACGAAGAACCTCAATAAAAAGCGTCAAAACATGAAAGTCTCTAGTACAACAGACAAAATAGAACTGGCAGAGCTTTCCAAGTTGAATAATAAGCATAAGGTATTCGATGTAAGAAGGTATAACATGGAGAGAATTGAACACACTCTGAAAAATGGAGGAAGCGTCAAAGCAGTAAAGAGGAAACTTAGGATAGGCAGAAATCGGATGTATGCACTAAGGGACAAAGAAGGCAAAGTAACAACCAATATGGATAGGATAGTTGAAATAGCGGAGGAGTTTTACAGAGACCTGTACAGTAGCCAGGACAACCCTGACCTTGATACTATAAGAACTAGCAGTAACCCAGATGACATCCCACCAGTACCAATGATAGACGAAGTCAGAAAAGCCTTGGAGAGCATGCAAAGAGATAAAGCTGCTGGTGAGGACCAGGTAACATCAGATCTGCTGAAAGATAGAGGACCGATTGTGTTATAAAAACTAGCCACCCTGTTTACGAGGTGCCTCCTGACGGGAAGAATACCAGAGTCTTGGAAGAATGCTAACATCATCTTAATACATAACAAAGGAGATGACAAGGACTTGAATTACAGGCCGATCAGCTTGCTCTCCATAGCATACAAGCTATTTACAAAAGTAATTGCTAACAGAGTTAGCAATTAGAATTCATTAGAATTAAAAACATTAGAATTCATTCAACCAAAGGAACAAGCAGGATTTCAAACAGGCTACTCAACAATCAACCACATTCATACTATCAATCAGGTTATAGAGAAATGCTCAGAGTATAGCCAACCACTATATATAGCCTTCATGGATTACGAGAAGGCATTTGATTCAGTAGAAATATCAGCAGTCATGCACACGCTGTACAATCAGGGCGTCGATGAAGTATATATAAACATCCTGGAAGAAATCTACAGGGGATCAACTGCTACCATATTGCTTCATAAGGAAACCAACAGAATACCAATCAAGAAGGGTGTAAGGAAGGGGGATACAATCTCCCCAATGCTATTTACCACGTGCATCTTAGTAACCTGTGCTTCACCGATGACACTGCATTGCTGAGTAACTCAGGGGACGAATTGCAACTCATGATTGCAGAGTTAGACAAGGAGAGCAGAAAGGTGGGTCTTAAAATTAACCTGCAGAAAACGAAAGTAATGTACAACAACCTCAGAAGAGAGCAGCGCTTTGAGATAGGTAATAGTCCACTTGAAGTTATAAAAGACTATGTTTACTTAGGACAGGTAATAACCGTGGAGCCGAACCACGAGATTGAAGTAACTAGAAGAATAAGAATGGGGTGGAGCACATTTGGCAAGCACTCAAATTATGACAAGTAGATTGCCACTATCCTTCAAGAGGAAGGTATATAACAGCTGTATCGTGCCAGTACTTAGCTACGGAGCAGAAACATGGAGACTTACAAAGAGGGTTCAGCTTAAATTGAGGACGACGGAGCAAGCAATAGAAAGAAAAACGGTAGGTGTAACCTTAAGAGACAAGAAAAGAAAAGAGTGGATTAGGGAACAAACGGGAGTTAAGAGTATAATGTTGAAATCAAGAAGAGGAAATAGACATGGGCCGGGCACGTAGCGTGTAGACAGGATAACCTATGGTCATTAAGGTAACTAACTGGATTCCCAGAGAACGCAAGCAGGTTAGGGGGAGACAGAATATTAGGTGGACAGATGAGATTAAGAGGTTTGCGGGTAGAAATTGGCAGCAGCAAGCACAGGACCGAGTTGACTGGCTGAACATGGGAGAGGCCTTTGTCCTGCAGTGGACGTAGTCAGGTTGATGATGATGAAGATGATCATGAACATGCACGCATCGCATCATCTTGCTAGTGATGATGGAAACGCGCTGAATCTGCAGAGCTCTGAGGACCGTTAAGTGGTAAGTCGTGTATGCAAATGGATTGTCGATCGCGTTATTTTCCACATATGCACTGTCGAATAATGGTTCGCACCGCGCGCTGCTGTTCGAGAGATTGCTGCTTCGACACCTCGCAACAGAGCTTTTGCATGTCTTTTTTTTTTCTCTGCAATCTAGTGTATATACTTTACAGCATTATAACCATGACGGAAACACGGCAGCCTATGAGCCATGGTGGACCCTGGCATCAAACACTTTTGCGTTGAAAAACTGAGAGGCAGAAGCACAAACAATGAACAAAAGGTGGCCACCAAAAGCACCTCCCCCTAAGTCAGTATCGAGCAAGTGAAAAAGCACCCTACTTAATCCGTGCATCAATCTTACCCATTTAAGTCACCACTGTTCAAGTAAGCCACACTATTGCCTTAGATATTGCTTAGATATTTTTCTAAACCGAGTTTCCAGGTATTTTAAACCTCAATCAATTCTCCTTCACACTGCGTTTTGGAGGTCTTATAAATAATGAATACATTCCACACATCAATGCCAACCGCACTGCTTATAATGTATAAAAAGATTGCCACCAGCACCAGAGGGTACAAGAATTGCATGCTCCCGCAAACGAACGTATTAGATTAACCAGATTATTCTCTTTTTTGTTTATCACAACCAAGTGGAAAGCTGTTAACAACTCCAACTGAGCGCTCATCACTTCGCAGCCGCGTCTAGAAACAGCACAAACAGGGTCCATCTTGAAAAGAGATATGTTACCACGGTGCGCACGAAAGAGAAGAAAGGGATGCCGAAAGACCACAGCAGTGTGGAAAGCTAGCAACATTTCGTTCCATCACTTCCGTAAGGATGCAGACAACGTGTGATGGAGAACAGTGCAAATTCGAAACTTAGATTGGAAAAAAAGTGACAGAACTACGGCACTTTGTTTAAATCAATTCGCTCACGATGACTTATTTCTCCTCGTTGAGTACACTAATGTTTAGCATGTGTACATTTTTTGCCTTGTTATCAATATTTGGGCTTCGCTAAGCGTGGAGTACAGTTTTGTTTATATATAAGCAGGCACTTCAAAAATTTGTTGAGTTATATTTGCAAATATTTTCCGCATATCCTTGCTTTCTGCACAAGTCGTGCCACCCATTCTTAAATTAAGGTGCTGTGATTGTTCCCCATGAATATTTTTGATTTCGCATGTGTTTTTGAACACACACACAGAGCCGCGCAAAGGTTGCACATGCCTAGCGAGCATGCATGTATCCATGTTCGTGCGTGTGTATATATATATGAGGCTTATATGCAGAAGAATAACTTCGGTTGCCGCAAGGTTATAAATATGAAAGTAGATGCGCTTTCACATAACAACTGTTTATTCTGCCGTCGTTTCGACGGGAACCCCGTCTTTTTTAAGGCGTAATACTATTTACACATGTTCCGTGTCTTCTTATAGCCTGTCGAGACAGGAGGGAAGGGGTCAAAAGAAAAGTAAAAAAAGGAAAAAAGAAAGAAAAGAGAGAGAAAAAAAAGAAGAAACAGCGAAATGGGAGGACAAACATTAAATAAAATATAGAAAATCTAGAAGAAGAAGCAAGACCGACACAGCATAGTTAGAAAGGGGCAGCATTTCAACACAGTAGGACAGATGTAGATGAGCAATGTCATCATTGTCAACAATACCTCCCCCGCACCCACTCTTCCCCAAGTGGGCAGTGAGCCGCCGTTCTTGTATTTCACCTTTCCGTGTAGTCTGCTGGCGGCTCGTTCCTCTTTGAAGTGTAGGACAAGTTAATGGGGAGGGCTTAAGCGCTTCGAGTGCGTGCTGGTGGCGTCGGGAGGAACGAAAAAGCCGCTGATTGAGGCACCGCCATCGAGATTCATTATATGCAATGGCTCCTTGTCAGTGAAGGAACAAAATGTGCCTAAAGAATTAAAGAAGAAAAAAAAAGAACAGGGGAGGGGGGGGGGGAGACTGTACGACATCTGGGACAGTCACCACACAGTTGCGGCTCACTCGGAAGACATGCGCGCATGTATAAAAAAGTTAAC